TTTAATCAGAGTGAAAATGTGGTAATACAATATATAAAAATGAAATAATAAAAAGATACACATATTAAACAACTTAGAGAATTTATTTGAAAAGTAGGAAATAAAAAGAATGATTTTAACATTTATTTAGAATATGAACAAATCTAGAAAAAAATTGAACTACAGGAAAGAAGGCAGAGAGTACCGAAGTTGGCTTAATGGCCATCCAATATAAACAAGCAAAACCCAAGTTTCTTTCATGCAAATAAGCATTAAAGAGAAGAGCACAGGAATGTTTATAGAACAGGCCACAATGAGTATTTTAAAAATTTACATAAGAAAATGTACATAAATGAAAAAATAAACTGGACAATTTACAAGAAATGTTTTATAGGTTACAATAGGCTCTAAGTTAGTTTATTATGAATAAAATTTGTAACACATCATACATTTTTACATCACAGATTCAGTGTTAAAAGAATTCCAACATGACAGAGCTTAGACTTGACAAGAACAACGCAATAGAATAAGGCAACTTAAACTGAAATGGCCTGTATAAATAAAATTAAAACATACAAATATCTAGATATGATTTGGTCAATAACTGGGCAGGATTAAGACAAATGCCATTCAACTTCAGTTAAAAAGTTGAAGTCTCAATGTAGGTTCAAAAAAAGGGGAAAGCATACGATGTATAAAAAAATAATAAAACCGTCTTAACAGGACTTACATCCTAATTCCATTAATTGTATTTGGGACAAAGAAACTAAGATACTGATGTTAGGTGTATAAAGTTACCTTTTGTTTCTAAGCAAAAGTTTGCAAACTAAAAAGGGCATCTCAGAAAAAAACTGTAAATTTAAAAATGGCTGATCTGTAATCACTACTAACTGTGCCAGGTATGATGTCCATGATTCAGAGATACAATGTAAAGCTAAAATAATCTCAAACTATTTGCATTACTTATGTATACTTTACAAATTATGTAAAAGCTCAAATGTTTTCTTTGAAAGTTACTGGAACTGTAAGCCATGTAATGAATGAAAGATGTTAATAGCAAAAAAAAAAAAAAGTCAGCAATATCTTAGAACTGAAATTCAGTTGCATATTTTATACAATTCAAAACCTTGAATTTTAACTTCATTTACTCCTTTGAAAAATATATTCCTCATTAGTTCTTTTAAACACAAAATTAGTGGCAACTGCAGCAAAATGACTGAAAATTTAAAACGAAAAATAATCTCTTTACCCAAAGAGCCAGAATATAAAGACTTCTAGATTTTTTTTTCCTTAAGGAAAAAAAAACAAATTATTTCCCCTCAAACACATCATTCAGCACAACTATTTAGTACTTGAAGTCCCAGTATCAACTCACTACTACATTTATTTTAATAAGCTAGGAATGTCAGAACCACGTACAATCTTTTTATCCTCAATTCTAAGGATAAAAGTATTTCAAGTCTTTGTATTTGATGTAAATGACTAGAACACATGGTATTTCAATTCACTTGAAGGTAATTAAAATTGTTTTATAAATTTCTTTACAAAACGTGTTTGACAAAAGCAGTAAGTAATCCCTGGAGGGGTTTATCCCGTATCTGTTCCTACTCCAAATGACCAGAAAGAAGAAACAGCTTAAAGAAAAGGGCCACTAAAAATCCCAAATATATTTACTATTCAAACATACATGAACCTACCAGGAATTTTCTTTTTGTACAATGGAAAAGCTGTAATAATGTCCACATAATTTCAAATTTAACACAATAAAAATTCCAGATACTTCCACAGATTAAAGTGGAATACACACATACACACTTTTTAATAATATATATAAACCCCCTCATATTACTTTAACTACTTGGCCATCATAGGCAAGAACGTAGCATTACAAGAGAGTAACTAATACCATTCTACTGGCTTGGTGAGAGTCCAGAATCTAGTGCCTCTATCAACATATACAAATCAAATTAACGCCAAAACAGGACACAACATATCTGAACATTTTAGTCTTTCCAAATGCAGCCATGAATGGAAAAACTTTTTTCAGGATCCTGATGATAACGGAGTCGTTTCCCATTGTAATAAACCAATTCCCTCATTTTACAATGAAAGAAAATAACATTCAAAGAATTTAGACCAGTGGCTGGCACTATATCTAATATAATACCAAGTTATGATCCCATATCCACCGAATACACAAGCAATAGAGACTTCTCTGAGAAGTCTTTTTGGAAGTGGAAACTACTCAGAATTTTAGATATGGTCAAAAAGCTGGGGTGATTTATTTTTTATACCACCATCATTTTTATTAGGCTATTAAAAATACCTTCAAGGAAGAAAAAAAATTTACATCTTTTGGTCTTTGATTATTAGGCTCAGTAGAAATTATAAGACCACTACTAACTTAAATATTGAAAACAGGCAGTAATACAGATAAAGCACATTATTTTCTGAGGTTATCTGATGACATAAACAAAGTTGGCTGAATTCCTTCAGTATTAGAATAAAACCCACATTTAATAAACTTATTAGGAAAATAGGACATCAATGACATTTCCTGGTAAATCATCTTAAATAAAGTCAAAGAGTATTACAAAAAGGGAATATATTTCTAGTATTTTGCTTATACATACCACAAAACAGTCAGTTAAATGCTAAATAAAGCACACTCATTTATTTCTGATTATCCTTTAAAGTTTTTACATGGCTTTAAATAAGAAAGGATTTCTAAACTATATTTTCTCAAATGCAATAGACTAAAAAGCATAAAGTGCTCAACAGAAAAAAAAGATACACTACAAAATACGAACATTTTTTGCATATAGAAAGCAGAGTGGTTATAAAGGATATCTGGAAACTACTGCCTTCCTAAGCTTTCCACAAAGAATGCAACCTTAGAAAGGCAAGATGTGAACGACTGCTCTTACAAGGCAAAAGTTCCATCAGATATAGAGGAAAACCTTTCCCTTTAGCTGAATCATTTTTCTTATTACAGAAATGGGACTTTCAGGAACTAGTACCTAAAATACAGTAATCACATTTGCATGCAAAGGAAAAAACTCAAGAATCTTTACAGAGTCTAATATTTGGCAGACTCTGAACCTCTTGAAAGACTGTCAATGGCCATGTGTATTACTGGCAATGGCACTGACTTAACCCAAATGAAGAGCCCACCTATTCAGAGTAGCTGAAAAAGGAATACCCCTGTTGACAGGCAAGCCAGTCTAATATTACGTCTTTGGGGAAACTGGGTATAGAATTGAACGCCATTAGCTCTAAACGTCTCTAGTTTAGCAAAAAAACTTTTTTTTTGGGAGGGGGGTGTTGGTGGTGCAAAGTTCTAGACCTTGTGTTCTTCATCAAGCCCAAGACAACTTGATAGTGCTCTTTGTATCTGAAAGTATTCTACCACTTCTAAAGAATGGAAATTAAATCCAAAAGTTATACAAGAAGATTCTCTGTGTGTACAGAATTCAAGAATTAAAAGGGTCTCTTTTTAGTCCTTTAAAATTGTCTTCTCAAAGTTCAATTAGGTAAGGTTGGGGGGATTTAAGTCACTGGAATCATCGTATTTGCTTCAGTGAAGAAAACCGACATTTTAGAGATTGCTGATGCCAGTCAGGATGGGTCTTGGGCAACTTTATCAGTATCACTGGAAAAATGATACACAGTATGATGAGATGGCTGGATCCAAAGTAAGACATTTTTGGATTGGTCAGAAATACAGCTAGTCTGTGTAAAATAAACTAGCCCAAATGAGCTTCTTTATCTCCTTTTGTATAAAAAAAAAAAGTTCCCATATTTTCCCATAAAAAATAACACTTCCCATATCACCTCTCAAAAATTCTTTAAAAACCCTTATTCATAAAGTTTTATTTTTAATATTCATAAAGTTTTAATGGATATACAACAGTGTTCATTTTTAAGAGCTAGTTCTGGACTGCACTGTCTGGTACAGTAGCCACTATCCAAATACGGCTCTTGAGAACTTGGAATGTGGTTAGCCTAAACTGAGGTGTGTCCTGTTTAAATATACACTGGTTTTAAACACAAAGTTGAAAAAAAAAATACAGTATCTCCTTAACTTTTTATAGAGATTGTATGCTGAAATGGTGACATACCAGATATACTGGGTTAAATAGAAATATATAATCAAAATGATTTTCACCTCCTTCTTTTTACTTTTTAAATATGCCTACTAGAAAATGTAAAATTACATATGGCTTACACTTCATGTTCTTAAACTGTACAGTCTATTTCTATTATAGAACTTTGAGGCATTATGGTGATTGGGCTAAGAACTAAATCTGTTTACCACTGTATGCTTATAAAGAATTTTGTGAGATTGTAATAAAAAACTAAAATCTTGGCAGTCTTTATCACAACTCTGTGTTCACACTTATTATTCCAGTAATTCTTGATTATACATGAGAACAGCCAAGAACAAAAGTGGTGAAATGGTGGTTCACTGTATATGCATTTTAACAGGTAACTTCAGTTTCAAAGGACATAAAGTATGAATCACGTCCCAAATTAACCAAAGCACTGATCAAATTAACTTACATGGACTCCGACCATTCTGTTTCTTTCTTAAAGACAGCCCCATGCTATGGCTGCTAATACAGTTTGCCATGACATGAAATTATCATTTAAAAACATTTTGTTCAAATGTCCAAATCACAAAATTTTAAAATATACTGAACACATGGCTTTTTGTAGTGACAGAGATATCTAGCCATAACAATGGAAACATTAGAGTAAGAAACATTTAGTCATTGTAGGTTTTCAAAGTGACTTACTGACCTGACATGAATTCCAAGTTCCAAATATTCTAAATTCTAAAATTACCTTACATGCTTTTCCCTCTGAATATTCACTCCTATTATTCATACTTTCATGCTTTTAGATAAATAAAACAGAATTTTAAACATCTGAGCATGAAACTTTAAAACTATAAGGAGAAATGTCTTTATCAAGCACCTCTACTGCAAACTGTTCTTTATGGAGCAAAATTATGTTCCATAAAAACATATTAATACTTCTTTCTTCCTGTAACCAACTTTTAAGCTCTTCAAGGCATATCCACACTTACTAGTAATTTAAGGAGGTGAATATTTTTCCCAAGTCTACTTCTTAAACCAATTAAGTAACAGGTTTGAACAACTTTGCTGAACTAGACCTCCAAAAATGTTACTGCCAAAGTAAGTATCTGAATAAAAATTAGTAACATTATAAAAAATGACTTCAAAATAGAGCACAAATTCCAAGGCAAAAGGATTTACAAATTCTGGAACTCTAATGCCTTTATTACCAGAATGTATAAAACACTGATCCTTTCCTAATTCTGCAATACTGCCCTCAGACCCCTACAGTTTCGAACAACTCATCAATTAGATTTCCATAAGCTCTCTTTAGAATAAATGTGATTTTTGTTGCTGTTCATAATAAAGTCTCTAACTTTGAAGTTTCAGACCTAATTAAACAGAAATGACTAAGTTCAGGCCCAAGATAATGTGGTACGGAAAGAGCACAGGTCTCTATCAATGCACACAAACCATATTCTATTAGTATAGTCCTGGGACCTCATTAAATGGATTTTCAAATAGGTAATTAAGTCTCTAATTAAAAATTACAAAACATTTAAAAAATATGATTAACATAAAATACAGAAAGTGCAATTTTCACCAATTATGTGATTTTCTAGGACTCATCTTAAAATTCAGGCTAATATTTAACAATAGTATTTCAATTAAATTATGGCATTTGAAAGAGCTTATACTTTGGGAAAAGATCACATAAACATGCTTTTTTGGTGGGAGAAATGTTGAGAAAACTGCAATAATGAGTAATTCATACTGCCTTACCATTTCTAAAATCACATCAAAACGATCATCTTTGATAGCCATTTCAGTAAGTTTGATACAGGGTATGTTACTGCCCATTTACTAGTAACCAAGACACGTAAGAACACACTTGTAACAAATACTCAGATCCAATTATATTTAGGAGCTAAACATTTCAGAGACTTTAAGATTTGTGTTTGAGCATACAGTACTGAAATAGTTGGCTACATAAAATAAATAGAAAATCTTCTGAGAGAAAGCTCAATAATTAGAGGCGGTATTGCATTTTAAGGATTTAACACTGGATATATACAGAAGGGAAAGCTTTCAATGAGAAACACTTCATGTGTTACCGCGCTCCTTCTTTTAATATGGCAACTCGGGGCAGCTTACCATCTTGACATTTAAAATTAACAGGAATAGTGCTACTCTGTTATCCTTTGGTTCCCAGTGACAAATAATGAAGTAATAATGCCTCTGGTTTTCAGTTCCTCATGGATGACATTTTTTAGTAGAGAATAACCTGATGCCTTTTAGCTGAAATTTGGCAGTCCAAGAAGTGCACCAACTGCTCCAAAGTATCCCTGCATAATTTTAAAACAATTATTAAAGCAGTTCAGCTTTTAAATTAGCATATGATATTAACAACTATTAGGAACAGATATTTATATATGATCTATTTAAGAACTCTTACTCAGAAACCTATTTCTGTGTTGTAAGCTAGTATTTGAAAAACATGAAATACATAATTTTAAAGTGTGGCTTACAGACACTGAAAAGCTTCTACAGAGAGCCATTACTACAATTCTAAGCCCCTCTCCTCTTTCTTCAGTACAATTCTTTTTGTTCCACCTGCCACTCTCCTGGCATCCAGCACGGCATCTGACCTGCACAGTACACCGTAAAGAGAGCAGTGACAATGAAACATAAACCAAAGAGAGTACTCTGATTCTGTGTTATCAGAATTATTAATATGTCCATCTGACCAGAAACAAAACAATTCAAGGTAAATTGACTTAATCCAAACCATTATATGAACTGACAATTTCAGACCAGAATAACTGGATGCAGTGAATGAACAGGAAAAAAGTCCTAAAGAATGATCTCTAAAATTTTAACAGTGGTCCCTCTGGAGGTAGGGGGTGAGGTTGTAGTGGGGGGATTAAGGAGAATTTTCCTTGCTAAACTATTTATTTTTGTGGCGTTCACATTTGTTATCTCAGGGGAGAGAAAGAGAAAAGAATACAATTTAACTAAGTACACTAACAGCCCCAATATCTAAGGAGCTCACAAGATCTAATATCACTCTCTTTTGGTCAGAGGAAGTGGGAAACTCCCTGTTAATGGGATGCCTACCAGGTTACAGTAAACCCTATCCCCCCAACTCAAACTGAGAGACTCAATATACTATTTAGGTAAATCATAGTTTTATACTTATGAGTACACAGTAAGAAGCAACATATGAAACCTGTATATAAAAGCATGCTGTTAAAATTCACAAAGCATTATTTTCCTATCATACCTCATGCTCTAGAAACAATGCTTTCAGTTGACCTTTTGACCAATAATCCAGTGCATATGCCAAAAGTTTCATTGAGAGAGTATTGACACGTAAAAAGTTCCCAACAAAGACAACTCGGTTTATTTTCTAAAAGAAAAGAACAAAGAAAATGAGTTGAAATAAAAATTATCAAGTAGAATTTATAATACAGAAAATCTCTACTTTAAGATTCCACTCACTAATATGGTTCCATAGATAACTTGAAGGAAATCTTATATGGAGGAACTGGTGTTTCAATCTTTCTATTCACAATAATATAATGAACTTCTGAGCGTACATTTTTGCATTCTGAGTTTGGTTAGTGTAAACTATGGCCCTTAATTATTGTCAAGTGGCTGGTGAAAATCTAGATCTATAGGGCAAAGAAAAAAGGTTCCAGATTATTGTCAGCCCCCCAAAGTGAAATATTCCCTAAACTTGGGTTAAAACATCTGCTAATGGCTCCCTTAGCTAACTTACTACACTGTTACTGAGAAACTTAGAATCCTGGATTTAAAGAGAATAATTCAAAGAATTAATTTGGGTCTTTTCACAGATGTTCTCTGCTGGAGCTTCTTTTTCCCCAAATATCTGCATGCTGATTATCTCACCTCCTTTCAATATTTATCCAAGGGTTACATTTTCAATAAAGCCTTCCTTCAACAATCCAATTACTCAGCAATTTGTTTTCTGCTGGTCTACTCTCAATTCTCTTTATCATATTTAATGATTTTCTTTTTTAAAAAATAGCATTTATCACCAAATACACACTAAAAATTTTATTGTATCACTAGAATGGATGAAGTTGCATAAAGTCACAGACCTTTGTTTTTTTTTTTTTTCCACCAATGTATCCCAAGTGCCTAGAACAATGCCTGGCATATGGTACTCTCTAAAATACTTCATGAATAAATGAATGAACAAATGAAGGGTTCCCTCAAAAAGTAAAATTCCCAATTCATTTTAAGTATTTGATATTCACAAAAATTAAATAGGTAAATACATCTATTACATGAAGGCAGAATTGTATATATAATCTCCTTCAAATAAAAATAATCCAACAATGAAAGTAAATATAGGAGTACATGCTTTTCGTTAAGTATACATCATTCAAAGTTCAGGTGAAGAACAAGTCTCAATGCCTTCATAGCCCTGTACAATGCTGCTTGATCCATATGCAACAAGGCAGCACTGTAAAGAAGCCAAAGGCAGTAAGAAAACTTCTAAGTACCTCGCTAATCAAATTTAACATTAACAGCAAAAAGCACCCTTTTCGATAATTAGTTACTTCAGAATCATCCTGTTTGGAAAGATTTTTCTTTTCTATCTTCAAGAAACTTAGGTTGTATATTTCTGAAAAAGTTTCTAGATAAATTTGAAAATGTAAATATTTCTTTGTTCTATTTCCAATTTGAATTATCTGCTACTTTCTTTAAAAGTAACGTAACAATTAGGTGCACATGGCATATACAGCTAATGAGCTTTGGGATTTAACAGAGATCTCAATTCTATAGGTCTCCTTAAGGAACACAAAGAAGCCCTGCTGCATGTACGTGAAGCGCCAATCCACATTTTTCAAATAGTTAATTTTTTTTACCTCATTAACAGCACACATTCGTGCCACAGAACCAATGTTATTCGTGATAGTAACTAAAGTAGCTCTTGCTAGATCTTCTTTACTAACAGATTCTCGCTTCTCCTTATAAATCATATTCCCAAAACTGCAGAGAAATGAAAAACAAAATTCTGTTGATTATAAGCAACATTTCATATATTTCTGGAATTTATCCTACAGATAAATTTACACAAGTACAAAATAAGGTATATAACAAGGTTACTGACTGACCCACTGAACTACACATAGCAGAATACTGGATAGCACCCTCAAACTCGGATAAATTCACACAATAAAATACCAAGAGGCTGTTAGTAAGGGAGGGAGGGTAGGAGGGTGAGAGGTAAAGGAAGAGAATGGGGAGGGAGGGAGAGAGAGAGAGAGACAGAAAAGGAGGGAGGGAGAGAGGGAAGCTGGAAGAGAGACTAGGATATATTGCCTACTGACTTCTTATTGCATGTTTTTTTTTTTTTTTGAAGATTTTACTTATTTATTGAGAGAGATGGGAGAGGGAGAAGCAGACTTGCTGGGGAGCAGAGAGCCCAATGCAGAACTCAATCCCAAAACCCTGAGATCATGATCTGAGCTGAAGGTAGAAGCTGAACCAGCTGAGCCACCCAGGTGCCTCCTTAATGTGGATCTTATTTTTAATCTACATGAACGTTCAAAACTTGAAACCTAACGTGGGTAAGAGTAAGCCCCCAACAACTTCCTGATATGTTGCCTTCTAAAAACTAAATAAACAACTTTAATTATAATATAAATATTAAACATACCTAGATGCTACAGCCCAACCTGGCAGACCGAATCTTTCATAATCTCCTCCGTAAATGTCACGGACCAGCTTGTCAGCTTGGGTGCTGTCACCTTTGGATGCCATTTCAAGAGCTTCTTCAAAACTTTCACAGCCAGTCAATAAACAGCATAAACCCAGAAAGGTACCCCCTCCAAGGCTTTAAAAAAAAAAAAAAAAAAGAACACTAAGTAAGTTACATTTACACGCTGTATTCTTCCTCCAGAGTAAAAAGGTGGAATATCCATGTAATTAATAAACACAAATAACAAACACACTAATGTCAAGTGCTGAAATAGCAACATAATGAAGGTAAGAAAAATGCCAAACCAAACTTGTCAGATGAAAGAATAAAGCATGGCGGGGGGGGATCAGTTGGTGATAGCAACAAAAAGGCAGAAAGAGCTTAACTTCTAATATCTTTACCCAATTCCTTAAACTTTGTAACTGCTAAAAATAAATGCTTTTACATGTGGGGGAAAAAAGCAGTAAGTGTTAAAAATTAGTACCATATAAATTAAAAGGAGAAAACTTTTAACTCCAAAGAATAAATGGTTTCCAGGAAAGGAGTTAGTGAAAGGCCTATTTACTTGGTCTGACAAGGCTGAAATCAATTCAATGTGACACATTAGCATTTGAAATAACCCAGAAATGAATATGGTGAGAAAATTTATGTTAGGCTGGTCAATATGTTGATGACAAAAATTTACTTGCTTCTATTATTCTTTTGGGTATGCTGATTAAAATGAAATCATGCCCCTCTAATCCCTAAAATAAAAATCTTTGCTCCCCAGTCTCTCCTAAATTTCTAACAGACTCCATCTATCCCTGATCACTGCTGGAATTAAGTTAACGGACTGAATTTCTTTTAGAATTGATTGAAATAGGTAATACTTCCCTGTAATTCTTTGGCTCAGAGTTAGAGTAGAGGTAGATTTTTAGCCACCAAAGAGATAAAATACTAATTAAATTTAAGTATCACTTTGGGTGCCTGGCCAGCTGAGTTGGTCTTGAGTCTTGAGCCCCACATGGATTAGAGTTTACTTAAAACAAAAAAATTTAAGTATCACTTTTATAAGAGTACTACTTTAAAACAGAAATGAGTTTTTTTCATAACCCCCCAAATCTTTCTTCCTCAAATAATTAGAGGAGTTTCAACGCCCACCCCCCCCTTTTAAAAGATTTTATTTTATTTGACAGAGAGAAACACAGCAAGTGGGAGATGGAGAAGCAGGCTTCCCACTGAGCAGGGAGCCCAATGCAGGGCTCAATCCCAGGACACTGGGATCATGACCTGAGCCAAAGTCAGAGGCTTAACGACTGAGCCACCCAGGAGCCCCAGTTTCTATCCTTAAAAGCTGATCAGAATCATAAAAACAATTATAAAACTTCATTTCACAATAATATTTCAGGCATTATAGAAACTCTTATGGGATATTTAAAAGATCCATGTTATCCCATAACGAGCTCATGTTAAATTCATCTTTTAAGAATTATTTCACTTGGCTGAGCATCTGATTGTTGATTTCAGCTCAGGTAATGATCTCAGGGTAATGAGACTGAGCCCTGCATGGGGCTCCCTGCTCAGATGGAAGTCAGCTTGAGATTCTCTCTCTCCCTCTCCTCCCACCCCCCACTCTCTCAAATAAATAAATCTTAAAAAAAGAATTATTACAATGTTGCCCACTTAAATGTGAATCTAATCCAACCAGCATGCAAGCTGACCAGTAGCAAACTTCAGGCTTAAACAGATCTATAGGACAGTGAAAAACAAGGAGAGGAATGAATGCTTTGGAAAACAGAAAAGTCATTGAAATCATTCCAGATAAAAATTCCCTCTTACAATTATGGCAATTTTGATGCCAACTCATGTTAAGCAAATATAAATATTTAATTATTTTAGTTTGAGTCTTTATATACATACCTTATAAAACATATTATTTGTAACACTCTAACTTTTACTTACATATCTACATTTTCTGCTACTGCACAAATGTCCCTTAGAGGCTAGCATTAAGATGATTTCACAACTTCTGGGTATAAAACAACATGAATGCTGCAATAAGAACAGAAAGGTCACTACCTTGTCCCGGTTACTCGTTTATAGTTGTCTTTGGAATGGACTGCTAAAATACTGACTCCTGAGCCAATGTTCACTATCAGCAGTGGATAGGGATCATCCAGGTTAAAAGGCATCTTTTGGCATCGCTCAGGTTCTGAGGCATTAGCAAAATAATAGCACTCTGCTTGTCCATTGAAACTGACAGAATCTATATACAGCAAGCCCTTTACAAGGCAGTCAAGTTCATCCAGTTTGTGCAGGTGGAGGTTTCCAATCTATAAAAAACACCATAGAAGTTTTATAAAGTGAACAAGGGACAGTATTCAAAATATGACTCAAATGCACTGTATAATTTTCATGTACTTTATAAAACTTCAAAATCATCTACGACCCATACATTTTCACTTGTTTTGTTTCGTGTCAGAATCTCTTAGTCCAGTGGTTCTCAGTGATGGTGGTATTACCTCTGGATACATTCTGAGAATTTTTAGGGATATTTCAGTTTTCACAAAGATGGAGAGGAGGACAGGACCAAACTAACATACAGTGGGAAGGACTTGGGATGCCAGATACCTGCAATGGGTAGGGCAGTTGTGCAAAAACAACAAATTATCCCATTCTTGCCTAATCTTTGAGCCTTCTGACAGACATTTTTTAAGGAAGCAGCAAGGAAATTTGTTTGTAATTATCTGAGCCTATGGAAGCACAAAGTATTCTTCATCTGGCTTTAATATATATATGCTAAATTTGCTAGGAATGCAACCATCATTTAAACTGAGGAAATAACAGACGTTTTTATTGCTTGGAATTTTCCCAAGTGTTATGTCACAAACAGCAACAGCATTTATGGTACCAGATTTTCCTAAAAATACCGTATCAATCTACCAGCATTTGTGGCTTTAGAATTCATGGTGAATTTATGTTTAAGTGCCAGCATCTAACTATCTCATTATGCCCTCTCATGTGATCATACCAGAGAATCTACCCATTTTCTAAATACCTTCATTTCTTGTCTCTATATTATAGTTTGGGTAACTAGTTTGAAATTTATTAAAGTCATTTCAGGTTAGTAAAGAATTTATTATAAACTATTTGTAAAAAAGATCTTAGCTTAGAGATCACTTCTTCTGGGAAGCTTTCGTTCTCCAGAACTTGTTAGGTAATACTACGCTGGTGTTCCCATGACCCTGCTTTTCATAGCAATACTATTAATTATAACGCACTGTACCTTTACTTGTAACCCACTGATCTGTGTGGTCTAGATACTGCACTCTTTCAAAGCTAAGACTCTGTCTTATTCCCAGCTGAGTTCTGTGTCTAGCATAATACCAGACACATACTAAGTGCAAGTATTAGCTTAATAAATGACTATTAATATAAACAGTTATTACAGAACTTCATCACTAGAAAATATTGATACTCTGGGGCACTTGGGTGGCTTAGTCAGTTAAGCGCTGGCCTTCAGCTCAGGTTGGGACTGAGCCCTGTGTATGGGCTCTTGCTCAGCATGGAATCTGCCTCTCCCTCTGCCCCTTCCCCTGTTCATACTCTAATACATTAAAACACACACACACACACACACACACACACACACACACACACACACACCTTAAAAAGAAAAAAAAAAGAAAAATATTGATACTTCAATGGCCAGGTAAAAGCTAGCTTCAAAGATGCCACTTCTGGTAAGAATTCTGGCAAACACTAAATATCACATGTTCAAGCAAACTAGTCTCAAATTTATGAAACTTATGTTAAAATTACTCAATAAATTGAATATAAATTTAGACTTTTCAACTATCCCGTAATTTAAGGGTCTCACTTATGTGAGCCATATAAATCATCACTTATGTTCTATTAACAGAACTTAAGAAATTAAATGGTTCAGATGCATATTTTCAAAGAAAATAAATTTTAGAAGCCCCAAATGCCAACATTCTAATCTTTATTCTACTGGAAAGGACTAGAAGCTTGACAAACCCCCAATAGCACTTAAATCAGTGTTTACATAGTCCTCTTGCCATATCCAAATGACCCCCTTTGAGATAGGAACATGGTAAGGTTCGTGGATAAAACCAGAAAAAAGGGGTAATGGGGACTCTCAATCAATGTCTACTTAATCAAAAGACACTGGCTTCAGCAGATTTATTTATTTTTTGGGGGGGGGGGGAAGGGAAAGAGATGGCCCTGGGACAAAGTACTGTATGGTTAATACATAAAAGCAATGCAAACACAGGGCAAGGCAATAATAGTGAAAATAATTCAAACACCACTTGTATTTGGCTTTGTATACTGCCAAATTCACTGACATGGACCCTTTTACTGTAGCTTTATAGTAGTCCCTAAACTTAGCAGGTTTTACCAAATATTATGGACAATAGGCCCAAATCTGGACAATTTTCTACTCAGCCCATGAAGGTAATAATTAAGGGCCCCAGGTGAAAAGCTGGTCATGAATACATACTTCCTCCAAATCCAGCACGGGGAACTAATCTAGGAAGCATGCTAGATATAAACAGCCTTGTATTTTAAAAATTAAAGAGGGGGTGCCTGGGTGGCTAAGTGGGTTCAGAGTCCAACTCTTGGTTTTGGCTCAGGCCATGATCTCAAGGTTGTGAGACTGAGCCCCATGATGGGCTCCATGCTCAGTGCAGAGTCTGCTAGTCCCTCTCCCTTGGCTCCTCAACCCCACCCCTCCCGCCACACACACTCTCTCAAATAAATCAATCTTAAAAAAAAAAAAAAAAAAAAAAAGAGAGAGAGAGAGAGAAAGAGAATGAGTATCAATTTTGGGTTTTGAGTAAGATACCTACTGTGCGAAAATCTTCTTCAAACTTGTAAGCACCACCTCCTGTAGCACATAGCACCGTGTGTAATGTTGAGAAGTTTTTATCTCTTCCCATTTGAATAAAAGTAGGCAGGTCGTGGGTTGGAAATCTGATAAAGTGCAAGTTCCCTCTTCGCCCAAAAAGTGTTAAATCCTTCAGTTCAAGATGTACATCCCGAATACCAGTGGATCCATATGCTACATTAGAAGTCAAATATTTCCGGATACTTTTTAAGCTCTCAACTTCTTCTTGCTCTTCCTCTGCTGTGATATCAATAGGTTCAAAATATGAGAGCTTTACTAGAGTCCCCCCAATGTCCATGCCAAACCATGGGAAAGCTGTGGATAAAAAAACATACATATATATCAACTCTAGAAATGCAAATTAGGAGCTAGTTAATTATCCACAAACATCATATATCCTGAATTATGCAGTCAATATTTTTGGGGTTAGATGCTTCTTCTATATGGAACTCAACTTTTCCCCTTCAAAGTATTATTTTATACATTTTCTAAAAACCTGTAACAAAGGCCCAGGACCTTTTCATTCCTGGTCAGGTAGGTATTCCTTTTCATTTATTAAATACTTACCATATGCCCCAAGGGATCAAGAAAAATTTGGACCAATTTTGTTTTAATAAATAGGTCCTCACCTACGGCTTGATAATGTTTCTAGTAAGATTTTAATGTAATAAAATTGGCCTATAATTACTTCAAGCAACCCAAGGGAAAAAGTACCCCCTTAAAAAGAAATCTTAGTCTTTACTCATTAAACATTCTATTTCTTTGGTATATCTAGTTAATAAAATTAGCTGTTAATGTTGAAGGTAAGTCTACTTAGGCACATTTGGGCAGGCAGTTATATCATTTAGGTTTGGAACCTGGTGCTTTTTCACTAAATGTACTTATGTAACTTTGGAAAAGCCATTAAATTTTCTGAAACTAGTTTTTTTAAGGTCTGTTTCTATTCTCTGGGATCTTAAACAAAATGATAGAGACTCAAGAATAATTTAATACTTAAGATATACACATTATAGGTGCGTGGGTGGCTCAGTGGGTTAAAGCCTCTGCCTTGGGCTCAGGTCATGATCCCAGGGCTCCTGGGATCAAGCCCCCTATCAGGCTCTCTGCTCAGTGGGCAGCCTGCTTCCTCCTCCTCTCTCTCTCTACCTGCCTCTCTGCCTACTTGTGATCTCTGTCTGTTCAAATAAACAAATAAAATCTTAAAAAAAAAAAAAGATATACACATTACAGAATACTTCAGAACAAAATGTATTTAACAGTTTATGTCTAAGTTGTTAAGGAAAACTAGTTCCCTCCAAAATCTATTTCTTAAATACTAATATTTTATTTGAAATATGTGACTATTAGAAACCAGGTTCATATAATTCAACAAGAAAAGATTCTATATATTTCTCTATTTCAGAATTTATGTTTACTGAAATTAGTAAATATTAAATGAGGAAGGAGTAGTTCTCATTATCTTCTCCTGGAGAAATAGTTCACTTGTCTTTCTTTTTTTTTTAAGATCACTTGTATTTGTATTTGAAACCCAATTTCCAGATCGGGTTTCCAGATCTACACTGAAGAGTATTAAAAAACAAACTTAAAAAAAAAAAAAAAAAAAAAAGGTAAAATGACTTAAGACTATAATCTGAGGGGCAATAAGATCCGAACAGGCATAACACTTTTGTGTCACCTATAGATTTTTCTAAGTAACTAAAATATTAAAGAAACAGACTAAATTTTTTCAATTTTTAAATCCTTAGTAGCAAACAGCAATACTAACAGTTATAGAGGGGAAATTTACAGCAACTGTTTGCTTGGACAACCCGTTGAAGAAAAAACAATATGGAGTACCCCTACTGATCCAATAAATCAGAGATATCTTCAGAATTTTCCCAATCATAATTAGGACACTTTTCAGTGGACATTAGATAAAACATAGGAATGCTACTGGTATAACTGTAATTATTTTTAAGATTTTATTTATTTGAAAGAGAAAGGGGGGGGCAAGAGTGGGGAAGGGTAGAGGGAGAGGAAAAAGCAGACACCTTGCTGAGCACAGATCCTGACATGGGGCTCCATACTAGGACCCTGATACCATGTCCTAAGCCAAAGGCAGACACTTAACTGACCGAGCCACCCAGGAGCCCGATTTCTCTTATTTGTTGATGTTTGATTCTAGATTTCATGGGGACAGGTGTGCAAATCACTGTTCCACATAAAGTGCATTTTGGGATAGAAGAATTTCTACAAGGTAAGATTTATTAAGCTAAAAACCTTTATTTTCCAAAATTAAAAATACTTTAAAAACTGTTTTAAGTTTATAGTTTTCCTTTCTATGTTTTTGTCAGGTGTCAAAATTTAAAAAAATATTACTTCAGAGCAAACTACAATGCTGCAAACATTAGCGGGTTCAAAGTTCATGATATTTTTATTTTCAGTCAGAAGTCCCTGTCTGCTCCCAGGTTTATAAATATGTGAAAACTGCTGTTCTTCAAAGAAAAAAACCCAATTAACATTTATGTGAAGAACTTTTAATTCTTACACGAAAACATAAATTAAGTTTCAAAAGGACCTTACTTAACATTTATGTGAAGACCTTTTAATTCTTTTTATTTTTTTTTTTTGGATTTTATTTATTTATTTGACAGAGAGAGAGCACAAGTAGGCAGAGAGGCAGGCAGAGGGGCATGGGGAAGCAGGCTCCCCGCTGCGCAGACAGTCCAGTGATGCGAGGCCTGATCTGAGGACCGTGAGATCATGACCTGAGCTGAAGGCAGAGGCTTAACCCACTGAGCCACCAAGGCACCCGAAGAACTTTTAATTCTTACATGAAAACATAAATTAATTTTCGAAAGGATGTTACAGCCTATGAAGATTATCTGAAGTTTATAGATGAAATACCGGAGAGTGATATATTTTCTACTTTTCTAAAGCTATGCAGGAGCACCAAGGTTTTTGAGCCAATTCCAATACCTAATTGTGGAGTAGGCAATAGAAAGGCTCACTGAATGAAATCCTGTTTGTGAGATCTAGGGTGCTCAAAAGTATTAACTAGTTCTTTCTCAGAGAAAACTACTGCTTAGATATAATTATAGTTAAATTGATAAGGAAAAATAAAAAAAACCTTCCACTGCTTCTTCTTTTAAAAGGCTTTTGTTGAGGGATGCCTGGGTGGCTCAGTTGGTTAAGCATCTGCCTTTGGCTCTCAGGTCATGATCCCAGCCAGACTCCTGGGATCTCCTCCATCAGGCTTCTTGCTCAGCCGGGAGCCTGCTTCTCCTGTGCCTGCTTTGCCTGCCACTCCCTGTGCTTGGGCGCATGCTCTCTAACAAATACATAATATCTTAAAAAAAAAAAAAAAAAAAAAAAAAAAAAGGAAAAAGCCTTTTGTTGATATATTTGCATGAAACAACCAAGCTTGTCCTATCTGAAAAAGAAAACTCCACACAGAAAGTAAAAAAATTTGTAAACAAAGCTATGTTTTATTATTACAGTATATCAAATCCCTCATTTCTTTTAAGTTACATTAATTACTGAAGAATACTCTAAGATATGTATGACATGTAACACATAAAGAATAACAACCACCAGCCTGGGTGGCTCAGTCAGTTAACAGACTCTTGGTTTCAGCTCAGACCATGATCTCAAGGTCGTGACTGAGCCCAGCATTGGGCTCTGCGCTTAGTGGGGAGTCTGAGTGAAGATTCTTTCTCTCTTTCTAAAATTTAAAAAAAAAAAAATCTTAAAAAAAAGAAAAAAAAAAAAGAATAACCACCAACAACCACCCCGAACTCATGAAACAGTATTACCATTCAATTTTAAATCTTTGTGTGACCCACTTTTGTAGACTGGACTACAGGAACAGAACGTTCTATGAAAAAACTGCAAATTAAATCGGAAAAACTGTATGATTTCTTTAACAGTTATTGACTACAGAGGTCAGTTTTTAAAATTAAGAATGCAAAAAGCCCAAACTCATCTCACATCTAGCCTATGAGACACATTTGTTCTTTTAGTGCCGTCTGTTCTTAAAGGAAGGGTAACTAGAGATGCTATATTGTAGTCGAATTTCTCAGTAATCACGTGCCAACTAGAACATAACATGTGCTTTCTATTTCTTAGTAAATTTCAATTATGACAATTTTCTTCTTAAAATCAGGAAGGTAAGGATTGGAAGAAGTCAGCCTTGCCAGTGACTCCAAAGGAAAAAAAGTTGGTTAATAGCCACCTTTGGCACAGTGAGACGTTTAACTCGGCAGAGTTCTGGAATTCATTTCCTTAAGCCAGAGGGGGAGAAAAAAAAAAATCACATTAAAAAAGTATGGGGACCCTCTCCTGTGGGAGCCATGGAGGAGCAGAAGCCATGGCTCTAGCAAACTGAGGCACAGCCATGGGCGCCTCACCAAGCACACCAAATTTGTGCGGGCTCAGATGATGCCAGATGATCCCAGGTGTGCCATGTCGCCTCACATGAGCAGAATGCACAAGGTCTCCAAGGACAAGTGCGCCCCCAAGTTCATCAAGAAAAGGGTGGTAACATACATCCGTGCCAAGAGGAAAAGAGAGGAAATGAGCAATTCCTGGCAGCCATGGGGTAAGAAGCAGCCAAGAAGGACTGGACCCCCTCCCCACTCTGTATATACTTAAGATTCTTTGGAACTTGAAAAAAAGGAAAAATTAATTTTTTCATTTTATTTTTAGGCACACTCTACACCCAACATGGGGCTCGAACTCACAACCTGAGTTCAAGAGTCCCATGCTCTACTGACTGAACCAGTGAGGTGTGTCTCACAGAAAACACAAATTCTTAATTATGATCCACTTCTATCATTTAGTAAGTGGTCTGATTACTGATCTTTACATTTTCTAGTACATTAAAAAAAAATATTTTGTCACCGAAACAGGAAGGGGAAAGGGACATGGAGCTCAAACTTTATTTATAATTCTAAATATGAGGGAACTGTAAGGTTATTAAGTACAACCACAGGTCCACTAATAGATCATGAGGTAAGAAAAATACCAAGTTTCCTAAAAAATCAGGCAAGCATCTATATCAATAGTTTTGTTGCTTCTAGCTGAGACAGGTTAAAGGTCGGTCACCAGCACATAAGCAGGCTACTTACTGCATATAACGTCAACATTTTTTATTCTTTGATAATAAAACTTTCTACTGCCAAGGTGAAAATAATGAACCAAAACACACGTTTAAAAAGTAAAATACACACTTCAAAAAAACAACTGAGTACTTTTGATGATGGGAAATATGCAGTGCCTTCTCCAGACTTTTCTAGAATCTATTTGGCGTTCAAAAAAAATAACTCCTATTCTGTTTCTCAGCTGAGCCTAACAGAGCTGTCAATTCCCCATCAGTAACAAAACATCCAGAACTACCATAAGCATAAAGTGCTACCAAGAATTTTATCTTTCTTACCAGGTAGATTGTGTGTGAAGAAACCTGCCAAGTCCAATACCCTTGATTATCTAGCAGAAGATACCTTGCCACGGGGCAAACTGTTGATTTCTAACAAAATATGTTATAAGAGTTTGGTGTCTTGCTAGATGTGAAGGGGTGGGAGAGAAACATTAAAGAACTGTTTAATTGCTACTGGCTCCATGCAGATTTCAGCCCAAAGGGATCCTATGCCAGATTTAATTCTTTAGCAGAAAGAGGGGCCAAATGATGAAAATGTTTAAAACATTAGATTATTTTAAGAAACAAAATTCTAAAATGAGCATGTGCACAGGTAAATTCCAGGTATGCTTCAGTTCTTAGATAAAAAGGCCATTAATTTTGCTTTTCCCGGTAATCATTCCAACTAAAAATGCTGGTGTTTTGAAATAGACTAAGAAAATAACCATCTTCACACCTTCAGTATCATAATTCCTTAGAAGAGTGTTAGGTAAATATTTTTTTCCTTTGGTAAATTAGGTACATCCAAGGGAATACTAGAAACTATCACATTCAATTGTACTTCATTATCAACTAGAAGGGATAATTCTTTTTTTTTTTTTTTTTTTTTAAAGTAGGCTCCACACCCAGCATGGAGCCCAACATGGGGCTTCAACTCACAACCCGGAGATCAAGAGTCAGATGTTGAACCAAATGAGCCACCTAGGTGCGCATGGAAGTGAAGATTCTTAAGTAATGATTCAATTTACAAACAGGCCAATCAAATTATATAGAAGCAAAGGCACATATGCCATATAATTCTCTCTGCTCTTGACAAAAGCTTTAGGTAACAGCCTGGGTTAGCAAAGCAGAGACTCAAAAACCTTCATCTTATCAAATTAAAAAATGTGTCTTTTAGTATCATCGTGTTAACTAGGCTCCATGCCACAAAGGTAAGCAAAACAAAGGTTGAACATACCTTAAGACATCCCATCAGCTGAGGTACAAAGGAACCCATGATTGTTTGGCTTTTTAATATCTAATATTTAAGCAGTATGAAATATTTAAGTAAAGGTAAAGCAAACAAACACTGCCACTTTTCAGGTTTCCATATTTTCACAAGGAAAAATTTTTTACTAGGTTAATGTTTGACTTCATCCTTCCCTTAGAGTTGAATTAACACATACTTCCAATGCTAACCTTTTACTTATGTTATACAGTCCAGGAGATGAAACTACTTCCTTTTCTTATTTTCTGGTTAAATAGATGCATTTGATTTATAACCTCCTAATATATTAGTGATGTATCTAAAAGCAATGTTCTAACACTCAGGGGAATTTAAGAAAGTGTGAAGCCAAAGCTACTTGTTTAATACAGCAATGCATATAAAGATAAAGCCTTACAGTACATATGAAGTGCTCACTAAATTTATAATCACGAAAAACAAAACAAAACAAAAAACCCTACCCAACTACTCAAAAACAACACAAATATATTTTTAGGTAATCTGAGTGTTAATATTCCTAAAAACATTAAAAATAACACTCTCTAGTTACATATGTTTATAATTTATAATGGAAATACTTCCCTCACAAAAACAAGATGTTCTTTACTTTTCGTATAAAGAACTAATGAAGCAGTAGTATCATCTTTTACACAAAAGAAACAGGAAATGTTACTTTAGACTTCTAAATCCTATTAACTGACTAACATGACTCTTTCATCATTAATAGCCTCATAATGTAATAGCAAGTAACTTAAAAAAAAAAAAAAAAAAAAGGTGTTCTTGGGGCACCTAAGCAGCTCAGTTGATCAAGCATCTACCTTCAGCTCAGGTCATGATCTCAAGGTCCTGGGATGGAGCCCTGCATCAGGATCCCTGCTCTGCAGCAGGGAAATCTACTTCTCCCTCTTCCCCCATTTGTGCACTGTCTCAAATACATAAATCCTTAAAAAAAAAATTTTTTTAAAAGGCATTCTTTTCTCAACCTAAAGTTTATTTAATAAACCTTTATATCTTTGCAGAAACACCTTTGACAGAGGTAGCATTCATACCTGATTACAAGTGTGACCAAATCTAACAAATCATATTACTATCATGGAAAAAAAGAAAATACCGTTAAGAGTCTGCATATGAGCTTGTCATAGTTAAACTTATTTTACTAAATGGAAGTTCTAAGACAAGCAGGGAAAATGTATGTGTTAAGGGAAGATGTCCAAGTGTTTTGCATGACTGCATCTGTTCAAGATTAGTTTAATTCAGCAAATATAAAACAATTAGAAGTGGTTCTACAGTACTGTCATTTATTTAAGCCTTCACATCACTATTTTATAGGGTACTTGAACAAGAACTCTAGTTATCACAAGAAATCATCATTAAAAAAAATTTTTTTCAGCAGGCAGATAAAACCCCCCCAGACCAGAAAGTTTTTCTTCTCTAAGTATTTGGACTAACCTATCCCTTTGGGTGCAGAAAAAACACTGGACTATGAGGGAACCTCATTAGCACAGAGTTGGTTGGTACAGCCTTGGAAAAGTTACTCTGAGGCTAAATAAATTCAACTCCCCCATCTGTAAAATTAAGACCAAATTATCTCACATTTAAATAACAATTAGTCGTTTTCGAAGTGCTTAGGTATGTTGCCTTTCTGGTGAGGTTACAAGAATGCTCAAGGGCCAGAAGGGAAGGTGTCAATGCTCCCTTTTATAGATTTCTTAGGACTCTAAGATCACATGAGACACTAAAAACTTAAACACCAATACAATTCTAAGATAAGCATGCTTCCCCACATTCCTGGTTCCTCTGGGAGAATATACTTACAAAGTATGAAAATCACAATGAGTGATTAAATAAGCTATTTACAGGAGTAAAAGGTTTTTAAAAGGCTAATAATAAAAAGGAAAGGAAAGCTGATCTTTTTTAAAACACGTGAAGAATGTTTTATTAAAAAGCACGTACAAAAATAGTCGTAGAAAAACCTCTAATAAGAGCATTCAACAAAGTATTAATAGTGGTTAGCTCTGAGTGGCGGGAATACCCGTGATTTCTATCTTTTTTGTTTGTCTCTTCTTTTAAGCAAACACGACCTAGTTGTTATTCTAAACAAAAACAAGCCAAGGCAATTACCCACTGGTAGGTTACAGGCGTGTTTTAAAAAGATTCTAATTTTAACAGCAGTGACAACTCCCAGGAACACACCGGTATTTCAAGGACACAAGCGGGAAGCACAGCAATTAGTTTAAAAAAAAAAAAAAAGGTGGCAAATGCCCCCATGCAAATGCCCCCCATTTTCAACCCGACTTCAGAGGAAGCTGGGGGAGTGGGGAGTGGACTGGTATCTCTAGCCTTGCCTGGCAAACACCGAATCAAAAATTCCCCCAAGCGCGTCCCAGATCTCGAGGAGGAAGTGGGAGGAAAGGGCCAGGGGGCGGCAGGCGTTCGTCACGCGCGCACAGGAGGATGGAGAAGGCGGCTCCATCCCGAGGCTGAAATGGTCCTTGCGCCCCCATCCCGTGCAGGGCGCCGGCGACGAGCGACAGGCCGGGAACGAGGCCGCTCCGTTAAGGCGCTTCCACACGGGGCCCAAAGTGCTCTCCCAACCCGGCGGGCCCAAACCCTCATCTTACAGGGTTTCTTGGCATCCTTGATCTTCATGGCGTCTGCGGAAGGAACCAGGGGCAGGTTAGCGTCCGGAGCACGCAGGTAGTGGCGGCGACTCTGGAGCTGCCTGGGCCGCGCGGGAAGGCCCAGCCGGTTCCTCCCCTCAGGCCGGGCGGGGCGGGCCTAGGGCGGGGCGGCGGCGCCTGAGGCGAGGCCCGGCCCAGGGGCGGCCTCCCCACCCCCGTGAGGGTGTGCCGGGACCGAGCGAGCTGGGGAAGGCCGCCGTCCTCGCCGCTCCGGGGGCCCCCCCCGCAGCCGCTCCAAACAAAAGGCCCGGGTCCCCGGAGCCGCCGCCGCCGCCGCCGCACTAAGAAATAGCCCGCCCAGGCCGAGAGCCCACGTGACACAAGCTCCCCCGCCCCCCCTCCGCTCTTCGCGGGCTGCTGGGGATTGTAGTTCTCCGGGTCCTGACGCCTTGGTCTTTGGCTGCAGCTGTAGGGTTGGACTACAAAGCCCAGGATCCGTCGCGGTCCCTCCTTTGAGGCCCCTCCACTTCCGGAGATCGCCTCAGCATGGTCCCAGAGAGAAGGGGGAAGAGCCTTAATCACGCCAGCGACGAGGCGACCAATGATGCCTGAGATGGGCGTGTTGTGGAAGTCGGGGGCTCAGGCCTCACCCCGCCCTTGAAAGATAAGGGAAAGGGTACTCCGTGCTGGTATTGGTGTCGCTGTTCTGTAAGTCGCGGACGTCCCCCGGAGGTAGAAAACGTGGTCGTTGTACCATGGAAAGCCTAAATGCCGGACTGTAGGTCCGCTGTTTAGGCAGAACATTGAATGCATTTGTAAATTCAAGTCATTCACAACGCGACCCCCTGACTTAATAGAGGCACCTCGAATGTTGTTGGGGTTGGAATAATAAAAATAATGGCAAAAATAATAACTCACATTTATTGAATGCTTGCCATGTCCTAGGCACTCTGCTAAGCCCATTTAGTGAAATTATTTAGTTCGGTTGAGCAACTTTGTAAACTGCGTTACAACCATTACCACGCATTTTGAGGATGGGGTGGTATCTGAGAAGTATAATAACTTGTGGGACACGTGCTCTTTGCCACAGTTCCATGCAGTCCGGCTCCGTCCTTCCAAAGGGGAGAATCTCCGGAGAAGAAAATTAGACGCTCCAGTTCTCACAGGAAAGACGGAGACCCCTTTCCCTATGCCTTCTAGATTCCGAGTTTTCTAGCTGGAACAGGAAGGGATGGCACTGGGGATCTTCTCCTGGCCTGCCTTCGGCCCCTCTGCCTCAGATGGTTTGAGAGGGGGCCCTGGATGATTAAGCTTTACTGTCCCTCCCTGTGAAGGATGACACAAAGATTGTGAATATGGACAGAAAGGGACACAAACTACCCAAGGAGCATGTCCTGAGAGCTGGCACTTGGCAGTTAAAATCTAAATTTTAATTTAGATTTAATCCTCACAACCACCCTTTGAAATATAATGAATAAGAACTTCAGATTTCAATTTTTGGTCCGATAACTTGACAATAAATTTGGGCAAATTACTTCATCTCTCTGATTCTCATTGGAAATAATGATGTCTATATTCCATGGGATTGGGATGGGGATTAGACGAAAGAAGGGATAAAAAGTGGTTAACTCATTGCCTGTCATATGGGTAGTGATCAGTAAGTGATGACTACATCTATTATTGCTATTGTTATCCTTATTGTAAATATGAAGAATGGTTATCTATGCTGTTAGGCTAAGGTAATTATTTAGGATTGGACCTCAGGTCTAATTGGTACCTTGAGGTACCTTATTTTTTGTTATTTTGACCCCAGTTTCCACATTTGTTGTTTGGAAAAATATTTTTATTTTTATTTTTTATAGAAACGGTCTTTTGAGTTCCCAGATGTGTGTGTGACCCAATAACTCTGAACCATGACTCGTAGACTTAACCTTCTTTTCCTCTTCTTTTCCCCTCTTCCTACTCTATCACATACAGAACTATGGATGTCCTCGAATGGTCCTGTTTGCCCACAGTTTTATTGGGTGAGAATCACGATTTCTGATCGTATTTAGCTTCAAAAACTGTGAAGTATCTGTTACGTGTTCACCTGCTGTTTTTGTAAGTATCGTGTACATACCCTGTTTTCTACCAGCATATATCTTATGGTTATTTCCGGCCTCTTTCTGATAGCATCAGCTTGGAAATCAAAGGGGAAGTGATAAGTGTGTCTTGTGATAGGTTGGCCGTGGACTGAGAGGCAGGAGAGCTAGAAATGAGAAGTCATAAAAATTTGGATGAGTTTTGGACACTGGCACTTGCTAGTTTCTGTGGCCACAGAGATGAATGACATGTGGATATGACCTTAGCTTAATTTAACTTAAAAGTTAGGTTTATACTGGTGATGATATGTGCCAGAAAACACTGAACTTTGAATAATGAGAATTCTAGTCTTAGATCAGCCACAGAATTTTGGTGTGATCCTGGGAAAGTCTCTGGGTTTCATATTACCCATTTTAAAATGAAACAGTTGGGGTTTCTTCCCTTTCTGATTTTTGAGGTTCACTAAAATGTCTCTTTTTCAGGAACATTATGAGATGTATTCAACTGTGCTTTCCTTTAGGTTTTTCCCAGTGTTATTGAAACTGATAAGGTTATCCTGCTTCAGTTTTTGACCGGAAAGTTTCTTCTGCAGCCCCTGTTGCCTGTCAGCCCAATCCCTCCCTCCAGTACTGTCTGGGTAGCTGCATTTTCTCTCTTCTCTAGCGTGTTCTAAAAACCCCTCCCCGCAGAGCCAATGTGGGAGCTGGGGAGAATATGTGAAGGGGCTAAGAGACTGTCTTCCTGTCTCAATACTTACAGTTTACAAGACACAATAAATTCACGCTACCTTGCAAAGGAACAGAGGAGAGCTACCACATCCTCATTTTACTTTTACCAAGTGGGTATCCATTGAGGTAGGTGGTAGATTGTACCTAATGATGATTACGAGGTCTCTTGGCATAAAGTAAACACACACACACACACACACCCCTAGCTTCAAAGCCCAGACCAGTCTTGTGACAATGGATTCTGTCTCTAGTTAGATGGTCGAGAATATGTTCCAGTCAGTCCTTGGATCCACAAACACGAACTAGCATCTCACTGTGGGAGGGCGTCATTTGTGTGAGTGTCATCAGCATCACCATAAAACCGGAAGCACAGTTTTACACAAAAATGTTAATTGAGCTTTGACTATGTTCTGGGCACTGGAATACATGCTAGGAAGAGAGAGAGGTGAAAAAGAGAAAACTAATAATCAAGTCAACTAATTGGTGAACAAGAATAGGCTGTGATAGCTGATGTGAAAGAAGTAATCAGGCTGATGTGCTAGGGCAGAGGAGGAAGGCTTTATTTTATTATTTTTTTATAAATTATTTGTGCATTTGTTTATTTTTTATTTTTTATTTTATTAACGTATAATGTATTATTTGCCCCAGGGGTACAGGTCTGTGAATCATCAGGCTTACGCATTTGACAGCACTCACCATAGCACATATCCTCCCCAGTGTCCATCACCCAACCACCCTCTCCCTACCCACCTCTCCCCAGCAACCCTCAGTTTGTTTTGTGAGATTAAGAGTCTCTTATGGTTTGTCTCCCTCCAGATCCCACCTTGTTTTATTTTTTCCCTCCCTAGCCCCCATGGCACCCTGCCCTGCCTCTCAAATTCCTCATATCAGAGAGATCATATGATAATTGTCTTTCTCTGATTGACTTATCTCGCTTAGCATAATACCTTCTGGTTCCATCCATGATCTTGCAAATGGCAAGATTTTGGTTTTTTTTTTGATGGCTGCATAGTATTCATATATATATGTGTGTGTGTGTGTGTGTATACGTGTATATATATATATCCGTATATATATATACACGTATACACACACACACACACACACACATATGTATATATACCACATCATCTTTATCCATTATCTGTTGATGGACATCTAGGCTCTTTCCATTGTTTGGCTGTTGTAGACATTGCTGCTATAAACATTCGGGCGCACATGGGAAGGCTTTATTTTAGTTTGGACAGTCAGAGAAGGCCTCTCCCAGAAGGTAGTGTATGAGCTAGAATCCTTACAAGTTGCTGGGGAAGTCAGAAGTGTGACTGGCACTGGAGGTGTATTTGGCTTGAGGAACAGAGCCCACAATATAGGCAGTTGAGAATAAAGTGTATTGGAGTAAAGTGACTGGAGGTGAAGTTGGAGAAGTGGGTATGCTGGGCCTTGAGGACCCCTGGAAAATTTTAAGCAGGGCATTGACATGATCTATGATTTTAGAAAGCCACTCTGGCTGCTCTGCGGAGAATAGGTGGACCAGAGAGGTGCCGTGAGTTAGGAATGGAAAGGCTAGTCACTCTAGGCTCCTCCCTCACCCTCCTGGCCCCAGGCAAGCAGTCACCAAGTCTGAGGCGCTCCACTCTGGGAACTGTGTGGGGACTTGTGTCAGTTTGGTGGCAGCAGAGATGGAGACAAGCTCTGGGATGAGCACATCATTTTTTTTTAAAAGATTTTAAAAAAATATTTACTTATTCGACACAGAGAAAGAGAGAGATCACAAGTGGGCAGAGAGGCAGGCAGAGAGAGAGGGTAAACAGGCTCCCCACTGAGCAGAGAGCCTGCTGTGGGGCTCAATCTCAGGACCTGAGATCATGTCCTGAGCCGAAGGCAGAGGCTTAACCCACGGATCCTCCCAGGCACCCCGAGAACATCATTTAACAACTGCTTACTGAGCTTCCTACAGTGTGCCAGGCACTATTCTAGGTATTCGGGGTGTGCTGAGGAACAGGACAAAGTCCCACCCTCCTGGAGTTTACATTTCAGGGGGACATAGAGAGTAAACAAGTAGACAGCATCCACCCACTTGCCCAACACAGAAAGCTGGGAGTCATCCTGGACTTCTCTCACCCACTTCTAGCCCACATCCAACCAGTCGTTAAGTCCTCATTGCTGTCCTTTTGTCTCTTCTTCCTGTCCAGCCTCACTGCTTCCATCTAAGCACCAGTCTCCACATCTCCCATATATACTCTTGTAGGTCCTTCCTGCCTCTTGACTGGCTTTTTCCATCTACACTCCTTGCTGATACCAGAGTGAGTTTTCGCAAAAGCAAACTGGACTGTATCATTTCCAGGGTTTAGATCCGTGTCTCTCCCCTGATGTTGTCTTCAGGATAAAATCCCAGCCCTTTAGCCTAGGATATAAGACCTATTATGACTGGCTGCTCTAAACTTCTTTAGCTGCATCCCTTTCATCCATGCACCCTGATGATATGCTGTGATAAGACAAAA